TGCCAGACAGTGGTATGGGTGATTTACCAACATTTTTACTTACATCATATTTATTTCATTCGTTTCCAGTATTTTCAGGCTCCCACTTGTTTCCTTTCTATTTCAAGCACTTCTTTTATTCTTTGAGTATAGATCTGCCAGTGAGGAATTCCTCTCTTTATTTCCCATTCATGCCTGAAAGTTAATTTCACTGTATTTAGAATTCAGAACTGACATCTTAGGCTTTGAAAAACAATGTGTTATTTTCTTCAAGCTTCTAAGATTTCTGAAAACTGTTACTCAAATTATTTTCCCCTATCAGTAAAGCATTGTTTCTTGCTACTGGTTTCAAGAATATTGTCCGTATATTCAGTTTTTAATTTGATTATGATGTTTCTTGGTACACATTACTTTGCGTTCATTCTATTTGGAGTTTATTGAACTTTTGGAATCTCTGTAGACTAGTTTCCTTGGCCAGGTTTGAGACCAATTCGGCCATCATTTCTCTGAGGGGTTTATCAGCCCCATCCACTTTCGTTTCGGAGACCCCAGTGATGCAATGTTGAGTCTTTTCTTCTAGTCCTTCACCTCCTTGAGGCTCTCTTAATTTTTTTACGTCTAGTCCACGTCTTTGGTTTTATTGTTTTGTTTTTGAGAATGGATACTTTCTATGGTTTTCTACATTCAAGCTCTTTGAGTTTGGGCTGTTCTGCTGCCCCCTCGATTCCGCAGCTCAGCCGAGTGCACCCTATCCAGTGCTTTCATTCAGATATCGTACTTTTTGGTTCCAAAATTTCTACTCCAATTTTCCTTCTGTCTGTGATTTTTTGGGGGGAGGGCCTGAAACTGTTAGGCCAGTAACACATTGTTATATTGCTACAAAAGGATCTGCGCATGGAACTATACTAAGAATATAAAATGAAGAAGCCTCCCTCTCAATCAAACCCACTGCCATCGAGTGGATTCTGACCTATAGTACCCCTTTATGGCGTAGTGGTCGCACATGGGGCTGCTAACCAGAAAGGCAGCAAGTCGAAATCATTAGCTGTTCCACAGGAGAAAAATGAAGCTTTCTACTCCCATAAAGAGTTACAGTCTCAGATACCCACAGGGGCAGTTCTACCCTGACCTATAGGGTCACTCATTAATAGTTAGAACCTCCTTGATGGCAGTAAGTGAGAAATCTTTATAGGAGCAGGCAGGCTCACCCTCATCTTTCTTCTGAGGAGCAGCTGGTGGGTTTGAACTGGTGATCTTGTGGTTAGCAGTCCATTGCCTAGCCCAGGATGCCAAAAAGGTTCCAAACACTCTAATTCACTGCATTGAATAGATTTTGGCTCATAGCAACTGTATAGAACAGGGTAGAATGCTGAAATGGTAAATCTTTATAGGAACAGACAAAGCTTCATCTTTCTCTCCCAAGCATCGAGTGGGTTTGAACCGTCAACATTGTGCGGTCAACATTGTGGTCAGCAGCTCTATGTTTACCTCACTGCGCCACCAGGGCTTCCTTTTAAATCAAAAGTATTATCTAAATACTAATAATTCTAGGTGTTTAAGACAATTTTGTCTCTCTTTATTTTTCAAAAAAAGGTATTTATTTAAAACCATTTTATTGGGACATAATCCACTTATCATACAATTCAATAGTTGAGTCATATCAAGAAGGGTTGTACAATTCTCACCACAGTCAGTTTTAGAACATTTACCTCTTCCTTGTATACCTTTTAATTAGCTCCTTATTGCCCCCCAATCTGCATTGCCATATGCCCAAAGACCCATGAATCCAGGTGCTGTCTCTACAGGATTCACCCATCCTGCAGTTCACATACCAAAAACATAAAGCAAAGGGACAAAAAAAATAACAAAATAAAATGAGGAAAAAGCCTCAATAAAAAATAAATCAAAATATTAAAAACTAGAAAACTTGAAAAGGGAGATCAAATGATAATGTGTTCAACTTTAACCTAACTACATCCATTTTCCTGTGCAGTCTACATGATCACAAAGCTTTTCACCTCCCTGGTCTGTGTCCATAGGAGGTTCACCAGAGGCTTATATTTATTATTTTAAATTTATTACCTTATTTCATTCTTAGTCACATAAATTCTTACAGTGACAATGACCAATTTTTGCCTATTCACCAAATCTGGCAGAAAGATGAGATAACAAGCCTCAGTGAAGATTTCCTACCCCAGCAGCCCTGTGGAGAGGTTCTGCTGGCCCATGGGCTGGCTCTGGGTCACAGCACACCCAGTGGTTTGTGCTTGTTCGGAGACCACAGTCTGTCTCTTTTTCTCTTTCTCCATGTCTCCCTCAGCTCAGACTCTGAGTGTTGGAATTCATTTGAATTCTCTTCATATCTCATTTTATCCTCTCTTTTTAAGCAGTATGACTTATTACTCCTGTCTTTATGCTGATAATGTCCAAATTAATGTTCCCAGCTGAGACCTTTTTGTCCAAGCCTTATTATAGTTTGATAAATTTATTTTATGTGTCCACTTGAATAACTTATAAGCATTCAAATACTATGTAATTGAAAGTTAATCACTATATTTAAATTCTGAGATGCCCTTGGATATTTCATATTTCAGTATCTCTAAAACATAGTGCATATTACATTGCATTACTATATGAAAGGCAGTAATTCACTCCTACCTCTTCTGAAATATTAAGTGCCCCTCTTTTAGTCTTTTCATCTCAAATAGGTTTCTTCTTTCATTCAGTGAACACCTGGCATATCCTTGACTCCTTAGTCCTGGTACTGCTATTCCTACTTGCAAGCTAGCTCTTAATCCCTTTGCCTGGTCTGTCTACTGCCAGCCTCTTTATTTGAGGCATGGTTACCTGCCTCATATTATCTTAAAAAACAAAACAAAAAACTTTTTTAACATGCAGTGTCTTTGAACTCAGTCTTCATGCGGTTCTTTGATTTATCTTTTAAAAATGTAAATCAGTTCATGTCACCCTTTTGCTTAAAATTGTTCAGGGGAAAAAATTTCATGATCTTTAGTATGGCATGAAAAAAACTCTCCAACAGTGGGTTCGGGCTGCTGCTCAAGTCTCAATTAGTACTGCGTTCCTCTCCTCCTTGCTGGTGCAGACGCAGGGCTCTTGGTCTAGTCCTTTTACAGCATTGCCTTCTTTCTTCTTTGTGGAACGTGCTTTCTTTCAGTTTTCACCGGCCTGTCTAGTGGCGTTGGTATTTGCCAGCCTCAAGCTGATAGTTCAAACCCACCAGCTGTTCTGCAAGAAAAAAAAAAGAGCCTATGTGCTCCTGCCAAGATTTGCAGCCTCAGAAAGCCTCGATGGGGCTGCACTGGATGGCACCGGGGGTGGAGTAGTCTGGTGTGCATCTCCGTATTTGTTCTTGAGTTCTCATCCTACACGTCACGTCACTTTAGATGGGTTTGCTGACAGCTCAATCGAAATGAGACCGTCTTATACCCACTGGTATTGTTCTGTATGCTTCTTTATAGCACTAGGTCCATGTGTTTTGTAATTTTTTGTGATCATTTGTGTTGATCCTCCACTCGATTGTTAGCACATCTTGTTGACACTTAACATTAGGGTTTAGCATCATGGTGAACAAATGGAAGAATGTTTAATGAGAATTTTTTAATAATTGAAGGTATGCCCTGAGTTCTTAAAGACAGATGTGTATGTAGAGATATAAAATAATTTTTGGTTTTTAATTTGAGGGAAAGGAGCAACAAGTAAGTTTTAGATATGGATATTATTCTTAATTGTAAGTTACATGAACTGACTTCAAATGAGTTTAAAAGGAGAAAAAATTTGCTTTTTCCAAGAATATAATTCCTGAAAATGGCTTCAAAGTAGTATTAAATTAATGTTAACTCAAATAATAAAAAATTAATTTTAAAAATTAATGTTATTTCTTGTCATTTTCATACAAAACTCACCTTTTGTGTATCCATTTCTTTTATATGAACGTTTTTCCTTAGTCACCTAACTCTTCTACGGGATCACGGCCTTATAGGGAATGTCAGACTGCATTCCAAGAACTTTTGGCTTTTTGTTGTGGTGGTTATTGGCCAACCATTGCGTATTTTATGAAATGTTCCTAATCTTTGAAGCAGAACAAAGGCACCTCTGTACGCCAACCTGTGAAAATAAATACCATGACTAACAGACACAGTTGATAGTTTCTTTTCTCTAATAAGTAATTGATTTGATTCCTATTCCGTTTATTGTTCACCTTTTCTCTCTCTTCTTGTAGGGTTCGCGTAGAGTACAAACATTTTATTTTCTACATTCTATAAATTTTGCTCATTGGGAAGCTTAGCTTTCTCTTGGTATGTACAGCGAGTGCTACAGGCAAAGTTCTTAAAACTAGACAGGCTCACAAAATTAAAAATGTTTACAATGTCTTTGTCTGTCCTTTCTTTCGACGTCTCCTTTACTGCACTCTTTTGTCTGTCTGACGCTCACAGGAGACATGGATTACAACTGGTTGGACCATCCGTCTTGGCATAGCAGTGAGGCACCCCCAATGTCTTTGGTGAGACATGTGGAGCCTTGCTGTTTAATTTTGGTTATCATTTCATGTTTCCTTTTTTATTTACACCTTTGCATGTTTTCTTTTCTTGTATCTTTATTTTATTTTTTTATTTTTATCCCACACCTGTAGGGGACAGTCAAAAGGGAAAAAGAAAAACTAGTGAGCAGGCAGTTTTGTCGGACTCTTACACCAGGTCTGAGCGACAAAAGAAAAGGATGTACTTTGGAGGCCACTCTTTGGAAGCGGATTTGGAATGGTCCGAGCCTCAGATTAAGGACTCGGGGGTAGATACCTGTAGTAGCACAACCCTAAACGAGGATCATAGCCGTAGTGAGAAGGTACTGCGATTGTGGAGCCTGCCTTTTACCTGCTCATTTGGTCTTCGTTTGCTCTCTGTCACTCATTAAAGCAGAACATAATGATAATAATAATTTTAAAAAGGACAGGGCATTTCAAAGGTCAATGTAGCATTTTGTAAGGTGCAGAAAAGAAAAACAAAACAAAACAAAAAACCCTCTTGCTTGCTTGACTGTTTTTGTGGTTTGACCATCTGCCAAAAAATAAATAAGTAAATAAAAACAAAAACGAGGCACAAAGGAGTGTTTTGTCTTCTGGTCGCATGAAATAACTTTGTGATGTCATTATAAACCACAAATAATGAAGAATTTGTTTTGGATTGGCTTATTTGAATGCTTGCCTATATTTTCCTTGGGATGAAAATTAAATTATTAATAGTGTGAATCCCAGGCAAAAGGGAGATAATTGGGTTTGTTTGTACAGAAAAAAAGTTGTTTTTCTTTTTTCCCTTTCACTGTCATTTTGCTCTTTTGTTTTATTGTCATAGCATTTTAATGTAGCATTAATTAGTATTAGAATCATTGCCATCTGCTTTGGTATTTATTATTTTTGCTTTTAGTGTAGTGGGAATTTTGAAACTCTTTTAACCATATCAATTTGATTGAGTGGAACTTATCTTTTGCCTGCTAAATTTTGCATGACGATAATGCATGTTACTTCCAGATGACTGTGAAACTACCGTGATTACACAAATCATTTTACTTTATTTTAGATATAATTCATAAAGGAAAGGTAGCTGTATTTATGAAGGACGTGGGTCTGCCCTGAGAAGGAAGTAAACAACCAGTATTTGCTAGGTTATTTCCCGATGGCTAGGGCTGAAGTGTCGCGTAGGTGTACTAAATACATCACACGCATGAAGGCATCCATGAACTTGGTAAAGAGTGAGCAGAGTTATCCATTCTAACTTTAGAATTATTTCTCTAAATAATTTCTCCCATGCCCATCTCATTGGAAAGTTATTGAGGTTTGTGTATTTTTTTGTAAATTTAATCTAGACTTCTATTTTAAGAAACCCTTATTATGGGTTTAAATTTCATGTTTAAGTGTGATTTGAAATATTTAACATAATCCCTTTCCAAATTTTCCAAAAAATGTTTGAAGGTTAAATTCTCATTTTTAAATGATTCTGCTTACATTGAATTTCAAGCTCTTTTTTCTGCCTGTGGATTTTTAATCTTTAACACATCAATGATTTATATCAGACTATGCATATATTTTAAATACTTTTTGTTTCATAGAACTAAAGAGTTTACATGCTGGGTGAGAACTTCAAGTAATTGCATATTGAAAGAAATTGAGGCTATCAGCGTAATGTACTAAAAATCCTTTGGTCAATGCTTTGGAATTGGAACTGGTTTGTGTAATCATAATACATTGGAATAAAATAAAATTTTATTTATCTGAAATTTAGAAAGGTTGTACAATAAAGTCATTTGTCATGAAAGAACATAATTTGTTTGTTTGTTTGTTGATACAATATGGAAGCATCCTGTGACCTGGCAGCCATCTAAAGATGGGGATCGTTTAATTGGTCGCATTTTATTAAGTAAACGCCTAAAAGATGGAAGTGTACCTCGAGATTCAGGAGCAATGCTCGGCTTAAAGGTATGTACGAAAATTGATGATATTTTGGATGTATTTATAATTATGAAAAGTGTAATCATTCTACCTATGCCAATTTAGTGCTCCCCCCATTTTCAAGGATCCCCAAATATTTGCACTCCTTAGCCTGAACTTTTTTGTTCTCCAAATATTATGAAGTTACATTATGCTACATTAGTACCATTATTTCTACTTTTGGAAGTCAATAAACATAACTTGATTTTTTATAAATATTCTGAATATATGATCAGACTTGATTTGTACACCTTTTTCCATTATGTTTTGTATTTTATTCAAAGAATAGTTTTATTGAAGTACTAACTATGCAAGTCTAAGAATTGTATGTATGTATAACTGAAAACCAAGCTCATTGCCCTTCAGTCAATCCTGACTCATAGTGGCCCGATTTGGGGCTTCTGAGGCTGTAAATCTTTATGGGAACATGGTGGGTTGGAACTGCCAGCCTGGTACTTAGCAGTCCCCTGCTTACCTTTATAGTGCCACGAAAGCTGCTTATATGTATAATATAGCAATATAACTTTGTGTTAATTTTGAAAGATGATTGTGTGAAAGAGAATACAGTTTGATGTCTGGAGATGCAAAAACATTTATGTCACGAGGTTAACTAGAAATAGTGTTTTATAACATTTAGTACAAATGTAAAATAGAATTCTGTTTTTTTTTTTTTTGTCGTATGTGTATCTGGTATGGCCAATGAAAAACTGAAATGAAAGGAAAAGTAAATATTTTAAAGTTAATCATTGCTAGAAAGTTGTTTTGTAGAGCCTGTATTAAATGGAAGCTATTCGAGAAATATGGGTGTCAGTGGAGTTGGGCAGTGAACACCATATGATTACCATATCACTGGTACTGATCTCAGGGTATACATTTATTACCTGATTTGGCACAATACATTGAAAATGGGCTTTTGTAAGGTTGTGTAGCTTGCTATGGCTTTGTAGATTGTGACGAAGGTGGGATTAGCAGAATATGCTATGTGGACACCATGGTTGAGAGGTTAGACTTGAATTCTACTTACTGCAGGAACTAACTGAATGACATTGGACAACTGAACTTCTCGTGGCCTTAGTTTTGTATTCTGTTAAGTGGGAATTTTAATACTTGTTAAATTTTTATAATAAATTTACTAAAATAAGATATAAACTTTTAGTATAATGACTGGCACCCTATAAGGTTTCGATAATAGAGCTATCAAACCATGAGAATGTATTTAATATTTACATAAAATTTTAGCTTATAAGATATACACATTAATTTTGAAGATCAAACCTATGAATTACAGGTTAATATTGCCTTGTATCTGAGTGTAATTAACTTTAATTATGGAAAAATTGTGTACAGTTAGACAAATCAGTGGATTTTGAATCCAGATATATTGTGACAATTGATCAGAATCAAAAGTATTGCTTTCATTAAGAGATCAGTATATTACTGCTCCACTGCATTATCACTAATAGGGTTTTGCTGTTGTAAAATAACTTTTAGGTGTGTGTAATGTTGTCTGGTCACCCACATGTGCAGAGGGGAATGCCAGCGTGCCTTTTCAGAGCAGAGTGTTGGGCCTGTCTTCCACGGCACTGCTGGCTGGTTTCAGTAGCCAACAGTTTGGCTAGCTATCAAGAGCTGAATGCTTGTCACACTCAGGATTGGGATGCACATGGTCTACATTTTATAGTTTTCTGATGGGATTAAGTCCATTTGGTCATTTTTCTCACAAAGGATCCACCATCACAGTGCACATAAATAAATGTGCTGGAAGGATGACTAATGAATGAAATTTTTATAGTACATTATAGTCAGAACAAGAAGTACTTATATGGTTATGTCACACTTCGACAAATGTTTAAATAATTATATTGTGTTATAATAATGTAGTTATTTTAGAAATTGTAAACATAAGAATTCTGTAATACGTACTCCAAAACTCAAAAACCAAATCCACCTTCATTGAGATGATTTTGACCATGGCAACTGTATAGAACAGGGTAGAACTGCCCCTATCGGTTTCTGAGGCTATAAATCTTTTTTTTTCTTTTAAAAATCATTTTATTGGGGGCTCATACAACTCTTATCACAATCCATCCATCCATCCATTGTGTCAAGCACATTTGTACATTTGTTGCCATCAGAGGCTATAAGTCATTATGGAATCAGAAAGCCTCCTTTTTCTCTTGCAGAGTACCTGGTGGACTTGAACTGCTGACCTTGTATTTGTCAGCGCTACATAAGTACCCATTCTCCCACCAAGACTCTTTCTAATAAGTATAGAGATTACAAAACTGTTAGTTACTAGAATTAAATATTTTAAATAAATAACATTAAGTTGTAAACAATTGGGAGATGTAGAAAGTCTATACTTGGACTTTGTATTTAGTGCTTAATAATAGCACTGTATGATCTAAAGATTATTACCAGTGCATTAGCTTAAGTTTTAAAAAAATTGAAACAGTAAATTGCCTAGGTATTTTTACTTGAATTTTCAACTGTGTTCATTTTGACAATGAGCCTATTTTAATAGTTGCCTCTTTTAAACAGGTTGTAGGAGGAAAGATGACAGAATCAGGTCGGCTTTGCGCATTTATTACCAAAGTCAAAAAAGGAAGTTTAGCTGATACTGTAGGACATCTTAGACCAGGTACGTCTACTTTGATTTTTTTTTAACATTTTAAATGTTAAAACTTCTGAAAAAGCAGTTCTTACATAGCATTGAGTTGGCCAATTTAGAGAGAGCTAATTTCTGTTAGACCTAGGTGTTTATTTATTAAGAGAAAGTTCAAACTGTTAATTCTTGTGTCATATTTTATATTTATATATTTTGGTAGCTATTCTCTTTTATTTGGTTTCTCATATACCTGCCTTTAAAAAAATAAACTTTATTTAGGAAACAAACTGTATAGATAAAGGCATATTTCCTAATATTAGTCAACCTTGTCTCTTTGGTAATAACTTCTTATTGGAGAAGTCCTTGAGTATCTTGGAGAGGATTCTATAAGACGCTAATTATTAAGATTTTACAAGAGAAGTTAGACCAGAGAAAACCTGTAAAGAAAACAAGGTCTCCAGCCGCCGACACACTGCAAAACCCGGAGTGCAGGATTGTGAAATCTTCAGAGGGGGAATGGATCTTGACTGTTGCCTATAAGCACAATGTCTATTAAGAACGTACATGTAGCTTTTCTGTATGTTTCTCTCTTTGATCTTAGACCTTGTTAGAGTCTTTCCTTTGAGTGAAATATAATTATCATCCTAATTATCAAATTTTATGTCACTTAAGCTGTCCTCAAGATGTTTCCTAGACCATAATGTTGATTTTAGTATTTAGAGTTCCTTGAAGCTCAAAATTATTTCTGTTTTAAGTGCATTTTAGGGGATTAGCTTTTCTTTCTAAGATTATCATGCCTGACACACTCTGTAGGTGATGAAGTGTTAGAGTGGAATGGAAGGCTGTTGCAAGGAGCCACCTTTGAAGAAGTGTACAACATCATTCTGGAATCCAAACCTGAACCGCAAGTGGAGCTTGTTGTATCAAGGCCTATTGGGTAAATTGATTTCAGTATTTTATCATGTCTAAAGTTGGGTGCTAGTCAATAATTTATAATGTGTAAACCAAAAGTGTTTCATTGCTCTATGAAAATACATTTTTGTAGGCAACTATTTTCTCTTCCTTTACCAAAAAGATCTCATCCTAAATCTCTTGATCTGATCATCCTAGAAAATATAGTTAATGACAAAAGAAGAAATACCTTGTTATTTTAGCAGTTTAGTAGATTACTGAAGGCAATAGTAGGCAAAAGAGTACATCTCACATGTACTTAGTATAATAATAATCATTATATTTAGAGTGTTTAATGAACTATTTTGTACAATTAATGCCCCCCCCACTCTGCTGCCATTAAGTTGATTCTGACTCATAGCGGCCCTGCAAGGACACAGTAGACTGCTCCCTACTGTTTCTGAGGCTGTACATCTTTGTGGAACCAGGCGGCCCTTTTGGTTACTAGTAGCTCAGTACTAAACCCACTGCACTTACCATGTCTCCTTTTGTAAGAATAGTACTAACTATATTTACTTTTCTCCCTGAAATGATTTCAACATAGGAAAGAGAGAGAGGAACATAAAATCCCATGTACAGGTCATTGTTTAAGGAAAGATAAAACCTTCTAAAAGATGATGAGCTAATAGAAAAGTAACCAACATGAATGCACCCTTTACTTTGCTAATTTATTGCCTATCAATTAAGTAGACATTTGCTTTAAATTGGCCTATATGTGATCCCTTGTACCAATATGAGAATCATTCATCAAAAATCCAGCAGCTCTTCCTTTAGAGAAGCTTATATTCTACCACTGAACCACAGCCATCAAGTTGATTCCGAGTCAGAGAAACCCTGTAGGACAGAGTCGACTCCTCACAGGGTTCCCAAGGCTGCAGATGGTTCTGGAAGCAGACGGCCTCATTCTTCTCACGCGGAGCAGCTTGTGGGCTGGGACTGCGAGCCTTTTTGTGAGCAGTTTCATGTTTCACACGCCACGTTAATATTGTATACCCAAGTTACAGGCACACCTGTAACTGAATGAAAGCAATAAAAAAGTCACAAGCAGTGAGTTAACAAATTCATTATTTAGGAGAAGAGCTTTCTAAGGGCGAGGCAACAGAAATTGTTCCATGTAAAATACTAATGCTCAATTTTCTCTCGTTTAGTAAATTGTTTCTTTGATCTCTTTTTAATTAAAAAAACTTATAAATTGGGAGTTAATACATCTATCATTACATAGTTCATTCACATCAAGCAGAATTATACAGTTCTACCACAATCCGTTTCCAAGCATCCTTTTTCTTCCTGGACTCCTTGACGTCATCTCCCTTTCATTCCACCACACCACTGTAATCCCCCTTTTGCCCCCTGAAGCCCTTATCCTACTTGCTGCCCCTGTAGGTCCATCAATCCTGGATTTCATAGACCGAAACACAGAAACACCTAGAACAGAACTTCTTCAAGGTGACCTCCAATGAAGTAACCTCTGAGATGCACCCTGATATGAACAAATAAAAACAGAAATACAGGAAATATTGGAAACCAGATCAGGTTCAGCATGCATCAGAGGTGGCACCAAGTGACAAAGTTTTAACTGTTCAAGTCAGACTTATGCTCTGCTCTTCTCTACTCATCTCTCCAGTGCACCTGTTTAGTGACCATCCCTCAATTGTGGATTTCTTTTTAAAAAAATCATTTTATTAGGGGCTCATACAACTCATCACAATCCATACATACATCAATTGTGTAAAGCACATTTGTACATTCATTGCCCTCATCATTCTCAAAACATTTCCTCTTGTGGATTTCTTTTTATGCGAAAGTAAATCGCTTAAGTTTGCATCTTAGTTTTATTGAAATTCTCCTGCCAAAGTAATGAGACTGGCACTTAAAATCATTTCCAATTTTTAATTGTCTTAGCTTTCTAAAGCTCTGTAAAGTGGTAAATGGCAATGTGTCCTTTTAGCATAGCAGTTAGCAGTGTTGGATTACCTAGTCAGCATGGTTGTACTTCTTTACTACTTTCTTTGGATGATCTTCCTTTTTAAAATCACATCAACGATTCTGCTCCTAGGTTTGACTGTCATTTGTCTTCTTAACCCCCTGGCACCTTCCTACAGAAAGAATCAAAGTCTCTTCAAATTTACAATTCCTCACAATGACAGAATACCTAGTAAGCAAGGTAAGCACAGTATTACTTGTGCTTACTTACTAATCGGTAGTAAACAGTTTCACATGTTTTACACCACATCAAAAATGTGTAAGTACACATTTTGTAAGTAAGCTCAAATAAGCCGGTGCTTACTTTGCTCCTTGGGTAACCTGGCCGTGGTGGTTAAATGTACCAGTGAAACTATAAAAATATTGGTGCCTGGTTTTTTTCCACAAAGAACATGTTTAAGCCCGTCTCTGAGATCAGTGGATGGCTGCAGGCAAGGCTCACGTTTACACATTTGTCTTTGTTCCATGTGCTTGTTAGGTGCTGTCAGATTGGTTCTGACTCACAGCGACCCTGGGCACAGCAGAGTGAAGCGCCGCCCAGTGCTGTGCCATGCTCGCAATTGTCCCTATGCTTCAGCCCACCGACGCAGCCACTGTATTCATAATCCCTCTTGTTGAAAGTTTCCTCTTTTTTTACTGCCCCACTACCTCCCAAGCATGATGTCCTTCTCCAGGGACCGTCTCTCCCGAGAACTTGTCCAAAGTACCTGCAGTGAATTCTCACCATCTTTGTCTCCAAGGAGCCTCTGGCTGCATTTCTTCCAAGACAGATTTGTTTGTTGTCTTGGCGGTCTGTAATCTTTACCATAGTCTTCACCAGCACCACAATGCAAATGGATTGATTCAACATTCAACTTTCACATGCATATGAGGCGGTTGAAAATATCATGGTTTGGATCACGCACGCCTTACTCCTCAAAATAACGTTCTTGCTTTTCCACACTGCATCCCAGAGAGTTAACACCAGGGCTCCAGAGGTGTCTGTTGAGCCAATTAAGTTTAAGACCTAGAGGTCAGATTAGAAGGTTATACAACTGTCTTTTGGGGTGACAAAGGGATAATCTTGATAGATGTTCACAAAGGACACAGGACAATCACAAGAGACGTAGGACAATCGCAGAAGCTCAGTATGAAGCAGCTTTGGGCAAATGGAAAGCCGCCTTGGTGAGAAAATAGCTAGGACAGGTGCACCGAGCAACCTTTTCCCACCACGGCGACCCATCCGCTCCTCCTCTGTGGCAGGAAGGGCTCTGCTGGGAGAATCTCGCTGGGAAACTACATCCTGCATCCCAGCTCTGTTCTTGCCCCTCCAGACTTCTTTTTGTTTCCTAAACTCAAAGAACATGGAAATGGAACTTAATTTGCGTCCTTCAAAAAGACTAAAATATCTATTTAGTATGGTTTTGAACTGGTTAAAGAGAGAGAAATACTCTCTCCAGAAGGGTATAGATCTTGATTGAGGGACGGTATTTTGAAAAAACAATAGCCCCATTTTGATATTTTGTTTTAGAAAGTTTCTTTACTTACCCTCATGTTTTTTGGTATTAAAGAATTCTCCAAGTGGCGATACCGGGAGGGAAGAGGGAAGGGGGGAGAGAAAGGGGGAACCAATTACAAGGATCTACATATAACCTCCTTCCTGGGGGACGGACAACAGAAAAGTGGATGAAGAGAGACGCCGGGCAGTGTAAGATATGATAAAATAATAATTATAAATTATCAAGGGTTCATGAGGGAGGGGGAAGAGGGGAGAGAGGGTGGAGGGGAAAATGAGGAGCTGCGTCCAGGAGCCCAAGCGGAAAGTGAGAGTTTGATGAGGGCAACGAATGTATAAGTGTGCTTTACACAATTGATGTATGTGTGGATTGTGATGAGTTGTATGAGCCCCAATAAAATGATTAAAAAAAATAATTCTCAAATCATATGCTCTTTTAAATTTAAAACAATTTGTAGACTTTCAGGTAATTTTTTAAGATCATAATTTTTAACCATAATTTTAACTTCTACCTCTTCTAACAAATATCAAGCAAAATCTCTTTTTATTTTGAATATAACTACAGGCAAGGTAAACAATTTGCAAAATCCCCCCAAGAAACAAGTTTATAGTTTTTTCCCCCAGTAGAATGATTACAGTTAAAGAGTTTAAAGCACAATCTCCGAATGTTAGCATTTTTCTTTGAGTGATATTTTATTTGTATGCTTACCTATTATTGGATATTACAGGGCACAGTACAATGCAATAAAAATATATTTGTGAAACTTGTTCAGTAGATATTTTTGGAGCATGGATAATGAATAATACAGCAAGCTAAAGTGCATATTCTTTTTAACTTGAAATGCTTGAATTTTTAAACAATTGAGATTGGCACAAATAATAGCTTATTAACATAAGACGCATTTCTCATGTATAGTAATGTTGCTACCGCATACAGTTTTTGCCATTTTCACACTGTCCCATTTTAATATGTTGTTAGCCATCCAAATGGCAGATGTATTTATAGTTGAAACTGTTTCTTCTTTCCTTTTTCTATCATTTCAGAGATATACCTAGAATACCTGATAGCACACATGCACAACTGGAATCCAGTAAGTTCCATTTACACTAGAAAAAAATGTGTCTTTAATAATCTCATTCATCAGAGGGCAAATGAAGTGTTTTATCTATTAGGAAAAAATACGATATATGATAATTAGATCATATATAATCATGTAAAGATTTCAAATAATAGCTTTATTTCAGGTAATCATGGGGGAAAGTCCAAAATTTTATAGTCTTTTCAGAATTGCTTTTTTTTAAAAACCACAGAGCCTTAATACCTATGAATTTTAAAGTTTTGTGAAAGTAGAATAAAATAAACTGCAAATACTTAAAGTACGTAATTACCCTAAGTTTTGGCCCACATATGATACCTGTGAAATCATCAACACAGTCCAAAAAAAATTCATCATCCTCAAAAGGTTTTTCCTAATGAATTTCTGAAAATTTTTCATTTTACTACTTTGTCATGTAACATATAAGGAGCACTAAGGGTGCAGTGGTTATGCGCTGACTGCTAACTGAAGGTCAGCAGTTCAAACTCACCAGCTTTACTGGAGAAAGCGGTGGCAGTCGGCTTCTGTAAAATCACAGCTTTGGAAACCCTATGGGGCAGTTCTACTCTGTCTGATAGGGTCACTATTAATGGTAGCTGACTCAACAGCAGTGGGTTTAAGCTAACATAAGTGGGCATGATGTGTGGGGTAATCAAGTGAATGATTGCATTTCTCCTAATTTACACATATTTTTGTAAGTCTGATAATGGTTCTTATATAATTACAGAATATTCATGGAAAATTTAGACATGTTATATACACATTGAAATAGTGTCAGATACATGAAGGGTTTTTTAAAGTTTGTTTTTGAGTGCTATTTTAGATACTAAACAAATGTGTTCTTTCTAACAAAACTGGGTGTGTAGATGATTAGAGGTTAAACTCACTGCCTGCGAGTCGATTCCTGCTCCAAGCAGCCCTGTCAGTCAGAGTAGAACTGCCCTTTCTGGGTTTCTTCTTGAGAGGAGAGAGCCTCAACTTTCTCCTGCAAGAGGACCTGGTGGTTTTAAACCACTGACCTTGAGGTTTGCAGCCCAACGCATAAAAACTACATCACCGGGACTCCTAAGGGAGAGTGGAATAAGAAATAGGAGAGAGGAGGGAAGGCTGGTTACATTTTGACGCAGATTGGTCAAGATCGAGCACTGTATAAAGGAAGGATGAGAGCACATTTTAACAGTGGTATCTGGGAGATGAGTTTTCCATGGATAACTAACTGCTCTAATGACTCCAAGGCAGGAAAGTCTAAGAGTGAAAACTAGGAAAGCAGTGTGGTTGCACAGGTGGGAACAACCGTGATCCAGGAGTACAGAGTAGAGAGTACAGAGTAGAGTCATGGGGGGCCCGACTGGCTCTATAAGTCACCATGAGGACTTTGGTTTTTACAGGAAGGGGAATTGAGAGCTACATGGGGTGGTTTGGAGGAGAGAGTTGTGTTTTAATAGCTGACTATGTGGAGAACAGATTTAAGGGGATCAGTAGTGCAAACAAGGAGCTCAGTGAGAGCATTGCCCTAGAAATTGAGTGAGGAGAAGATGATGATTTAGACCTTGGTAGTAGCAGTGGGTCCATTGTCTACATTGACAATATTTGAAGATAGACTATATAACAATCTTTTAAACTTATGTTGACCTTTATAAGTATAGGGTTAAAACAGTTTTTTTTCCAAAAAGGTGAAATTCTCTTGACATGACATAGCTTTGTACTTTGAAATATGGGCACCTGTTTGCAAAAGTGTGGTAAATAAAATGTTCTGCATAATAACATTTTGTGAACAATGAATAGTAATTGATACATATAAAAAGTAGGAAATATGAATGAAGAGCCACTGTTATTATTCTTTATGTACAATTATCATTTTAGGTTCTAGCTCATTTGAATCTCAAAAAATGGATCGTCCTTCCATTTCCGTTACCTCTCCCATGAGTCCTGGCATGTTGAGAGATGTTCCACAGTTCTTATCCGGACAACTTTCAGTATGTAATCACTAAATTAATTTATCTTTATAGAATTTAATTATGTGTTTTAAACATGATCGTAGCTTTTTTTCTGTCTACTTTCTTTTGATAAACCAACTTCTTCCTAGAACACAATTTGCTTTTTACCATCAATGATGTCATTTTTAGTAATTTTAATTAATTGAAATTTTATTTTGTTTAATCCAAATGAAAATACATGATGCATTCTTTATAGAGGTAGATTTTCTAGGGATATCAAGAATTAGATTTTTATGAAGACAAATAAGCCTCATTAATATAATCTCATTAATATAATTTCTAAAACCCGAGTTCATAGTTTAAGCTGTGTACCTTAGGTGACTCAGCTATCATATGCTGAAGAGAAATAACGTACAGCAGTACAGAAAGATGGAATTTAAGATAGAAATAAACATTGCTGTAGTCTTTCCTGCTTTTGAGCCTTAAGGAAATATGATGTAGGAAAACTGCTCTGAAATGTAAAGATATTAGAGATGATTATGAAAATTTTTTAACTTTTTCTTTAGTACACCAGGTGATTTCATGTTCCATGAATCTTAATTTTAATACTTTTAATAAAAGTTTTAAAACCATGTCCAAATTCGAAAGGCTTTGAAAAATCAGCCAAAATTGGTTATGGTACTTATTCCGTTTTCATGCTATGATATAATCATTTAAAATAGTCAGAAATTTAAATCTGTTCCTTTATATTTCAGACATATACAGCTTAATATTGCTGATAATACAGATTATTTAATATACTTGAAAATTTCTGAATATCAGAGAACCCATTGGGTTCTCAATATCCAAAGATTGAATTTCAAATGAAAAATATTACTATTTTAAAACTAAAATATTGTTCTGATATTTTAAAAGCAATAGAAAAAAATCTTTCATTTAATGAAGCTATGGAATTCCTCATTGTATGGGTTTGGTGGGCAGAAAGGTTGTTGATTTTTGTACTGAAGTATTTTCTTTTACTTAAAAAGACTTGTAGAAAGTTTACGCAAAAATAGATATTAAAGATTTTTGGAAAAATAATTAGCTATCTCTGTATTGGCAATATCTTTGTCACAAATCATAGTAAAGTCATTCAAGAAAGATGAGATTTTAAATGTCAAACTGAAATGACTTTCTCCTCATTATGTTATTTTTCTTTCTCTCATAAACAAAGTGGACTTCTCCATTTGAGAACAGTGGTCTTTTTTTGCTTTCCACAATAAGTAGCACTTTCCTATTAATTCTTATATAGCATAGATGTTGTCATTTACAGGGTTATGAATTTAACATGAAATTACTTCTACCAATTTGGTAGCTATAATTCTTTATTTATCATCTCATCAAATAGTATATTTAAAAATAATGCTCCCAATGGCTGGATCAAGCCAATAAATAAATTCATCTATCTGTGTGTATTTGTCTGTGTATTCACTTGGATTGAATTGATGGAGGAAGGAGGGGAAATTAGATTTCCATCGTAAGTATCTCTTTATCTCATTTGAAATCCTATGACCCTTTGAGAAATTGGACTGGGGGAGAGGTTTAGGAGAACAGAACAGGGATTGACATTTAAAATTCAGCTGTATTTGCTCACCGTTCAAAATGGACGCGGTAGAAAAATAACTACAGGGTACGAGAGTAACAAGAGCAACTTGAAAGATTAGGTAGTCACATTGGGGCAGTGCTTTAAGGTAACGAGGGAGCAGCAGCTTAGGGTGGAAAGGCAGCAGAGGCCGCACAAGTTGAGGAATGTCTCAAGTTTTACAAGTAGAAACAGCTGAATTGGTGTATGTTTTGATGTGTATATACTCCGCCGCAGCAACGCAGTAAATAAAATTTAGAAGAAAAAGCGAAAAACTTCACTTTAAAATGTCTATATGATTGCATAAAGTATAGCCTTTAGATTTATAAATAATGTTGTTTTAAAATCCATCTTTTAATTCCAATGTGAAATGGTTCTCCGTTTATCATTTTTTTATTATTGGGGAAGGATATAGTCTAGTATTTTATTGGCAATAAATTTTAGTTTTTTTGATATTTGTATGAAAAGTTTCAGCTTCATGTGTATAATCTTGTTTATATGTATACATGCTTACATAGATATTTTAACATACATTTACACACTCTCTCTATCCGTCACTCAGCTTTCTGATTAAAAATATTGTATATGAATACATACATATATGTTTCCTGCAAGTTTGTGGGAAAATTGGAAAGTAGAGATAAAAAGAAAGACTCCCTTATAATCTTGGTGGCATAGTAGGTTAAGCATTGGGCTTCTAACAGCAAGTTTGGCGGTGCAAGTCCCCCAGCCGCTCGCTCCAGGGGAGAACACCCATCGTCCACTCCCACGAAGAGTGCGGGCCAACTTCAGCCTTCTAAACTGCACAGAGCAGTTCTACTCTGTCCTACCAGGTGTCAAGGTGTCCGAATTGACTGGAAGGCAGTAGCGGAGAGAAGTCTGTCAGTAAAATAGAATCATTCATATACATTGGAACTTTTAAACAAAATTGGAATTGTTCGGTGCCTAATATTTTGGACCCTTCACTGTCATGTAGTAATATAATAGGAACTTTTTTTCTTCCCTTAAGAATTCCTTTTCAAGTTATTCTTGAAACTATTTCACCATTTTAACTTAACTTTGTACTATAGGATATATAAGTTGTTTCTAATATATTAGAAATGATAATGCTTTGGAAATCCTTGAATATATTAATATATCTTGCATATTTTTGTTAGAACAAAAATCTTTGGTCAGCATATCTTTCTAAAGATAAAATTAGGAATACAACAGGAAAAGAAACATTTTAACATTTAAAATATATACTGGCAATTTTCCTTCCCAAAATGTTTACACTAATTAAATGCCAGCCTTTAAGAACTCAGGGTCAAATTCTGATGCCACAGTGTAAGTATTGGTAATATATAGCATTGAACAATGTATGCCTGGTCTTTACTCTCATGCAACTTATTTTTTCTTATCCTTCACATCCAGGAAACACATAGCAAGTTATATTGCTGGGTGTAATATTCCTCTTTATAGAGACAGCTTTGGTTTGCTCTAGTGATGTAGCGGATGGGAGAACATGTGTATATATGTCATCCCTAGGAAGAAGCCCTAGGAAATCACAAGGCAGCTTTAGTCTTTAGTTCCTGCATTTCCACCATTTGTCATTTTTGCTTTTGATGCGATTTTCCTGGGGATAACACCTGTTATACAAAATCTTGACAAAGCTTGTGGTAATTTTTGAGAACAAGGTTATTTGTGTAGTATGGGAGTTGACACCTGATAAAAGAACATCAGATACTTCTTTTTTCAAGTAGAAAAGACATATAATGCAAATTGATTTTTACATTTTTTCCTCTCAAGACTCTTTTGAAGATTTTTTTTAAATGTACTGTATGCCACTCCTGTTCTCTGCACGCTTGAATGGTGCTACTGCTTCTTGTTTCTTGTAGCGTAATGGGGACAGGGTCATTCCTCCTGAGCTGAGACCTGTGCCACCCGAGGTTTCCGATAGCCTTCGCAGAGTTTGCACTGCCTTATTTTCATTCTCTTTTAATTTTTCTTCTTCCATAATTTAACTATTTTCTTCTTTAGATGATTACTTGTGTAACCCTCTCGATATCCTTTAATTAATTGGCAGTCATTGGTTAGCTTTCTGATAGGGGCTTAAGATAAAACCTATAGCCTTCAATTCCTTGACAAGGCAGGAAGGGCTCAGGACTCTTTCTTCTTATGGGAAGCAATTACACACGGATTCTTATTGACCAGCATATTTTATTTCACTTCAGGTCTGTGTGGATTTATGGTTGCCATGCTTCCCCATGGTGTTATTTTGTTTTCACCTTTCCTGACTCCATTTTTAGTGATTGCGTGTGGAAATACTATAAATAATCCATTTTGTATGCCTAGTTAAGGGGAGCGCTAACCTCAGAATGACTATCTATCTGCCATGCATTCTTTGAGGCTTGAGCTTCCTATGACATAAAAGCTTTCTATGAAAGGTATTTTGTTTTTTCTCTGTAACTTTTATATTTTGCATCTCGTGACCATATGCTTGTTATTCCAGAAACTTTGGTTGGAAGGGATGTCCTAAATAGAACAGTGCAGTAAATAGCAGGAAGTAACATTAAAATTGCAAAACAAATTGTCCTGTGCAATTAGCATTCTTCATTCAAATCAAGCTTGAGCTGCTGTAGATTTTACCAGATCTTTCACACTTAAAACAAATGAATTAATGTAAAGTGCAATAAGACACATCATGCTTTACCATTCATTTCTAATGGCTATCTCCCGTAGAACTGCCCCCAACAGGAAAATGTTTATATAGCCTAATATTCTATATTAGGTGAAGATATGGTTTAATTGCCACAGGGGTTAGAAGTTCATTTTAGCAATCTGTGAGGTATTTGTTTGGGTTAATTTTAGAAGATAGTGAAATGTTTATCTTAAAAGATAAATGTGTTCTACAATGGCATTCTTTTTAAATAAATCTTTTGTTTTATGAATATGTAATATTACTTTTTAAATCTTCAATTCTTACCCTTTTGGGTCTGAAACAGGTAGAGTAAGTGAGAGGTCAGGAGAAATAAAAAATTTTGAAGATAAGGAAACTTGTCATTTTTATCAACATGACTGGTTAATCTCCAGTTTCCATAGATCCTCTTCCCCATTTGATACAGAATTATCAAACCTGCAGATAGGCCGCGATCAGTAACCACCTCCGTCTCTACATTTCTCTCTTCTTTGGGGAAGATCTGTTCACAAAAAGAAAGACCGTTTATATCTGAGCGCCTTGATGGCTTGGAAATAGGGAGTCAGGTGGTTTGTAGGATTCAATAGTAGTGTTTGAGTCAGGTCTACTTTCCTTGGGGTTTTAGATTTGTGTCTTAACCTGTCCCTAATGATCAGAAAGCTGGGCCATTGCCCTCTTGTACCCGTTATCTGTTACCCTATAGCAGTGGAAAGGTTTTGACTATCACGTTTGAATTAGACAAGAGAGTTATCCATGAGAAATATGAAAGATGAGCGATGGGACGTAGGTGAGAGAAGCAGAAATAAACACCTCGAAAGCCTTCCTCAGACCTGAGACTAGTTCTGATTCTGCCTGTGCTCAACAGCGGGCATGCTTGATAAAGACACAGTTTGTTCCAGAACAAGTAGCCTTTCTTGGGAACTGGGTAAAAGGGAAAAGATACACGTAAAGTCAACAGAGAAAGGAACCTGGATTTTATCATGAGAATTTGAAACGGAATAATTCATTCCAAACAGGTTTATTTCCTGATTTTACAATATCTTGTTTTTTCCATGTGAGTATGGGCAAGTTTATCTTTTTTTTTTTTTTGAAGTCATTGTTTCCTTATCTACAAATTGAGAATAACATCAAGTATCCTAGGATTATTAGGAATATGTCATGAGACAATAAACTTGAAAGATGTGGAAAAACAGAGCAGGTTATGTAAGAAATGAGGTCTTTGTCATTAATATATGTGATTATCAATAAGCTGTGTTTTTTTTTAATGGTATAGAATTAATGCCTAAAGATGATATTTAAACAGCTGAACCTGGTGTAGATTCCTAAAGTAAGACTCAACAAATGAATGAGTTCAGTACATTACACTATACTTCTATCTTACTCTGCTTACTCTTGTAAGCAATCCTAAAGTCAACTTGATTAATATATTTTGGACCTTTGTTACACTTAACTATTTTGGGAAAGCCACACAAATTATTTTCACTGATGCTTTTTAATAAATTTGTAGACTCGGATTGTTTTTATCTTATGTGTTTAAGGGTAAAACCTGGAATTTCTTGACTCGGGTTTGTTTGCAAGCATTCTTAGAATATACAAGCCCAACAATGTCCATTTACATTCAATCCTAGGTCCTTTATATTGATTATATTTTAATGCAATTAAGCTTTTTTTCCCCCTGTTTTGTGTACTTCTATGTATTATCACATTTGGACAAGGTTAACATATTCTTTACATTGAAGCACTTAATTTAAATAAATATTGCCATTAGAAAATTATAAGTAAGGGATAGTTGTATGTGTTTGTTTTTACTTTGGGTCTTTTGGTTCCAGCGTGTTGTCCTTTTGGTTTTGTTTTATTGCTTCTTTCTTTAATTTTGCTTACCAGAGCCAAAGCCTTAGTAGAAGAACAACGCCTTTTGTTCCTAGGGTTCAGGTAAAGGCCTTGTCTGCCTGATAGAAACTAAAGTTTGTTTTAACCCTTATTTGTATGTTTTTGGAAAATGCATAGTAGGAGAATTATTTTGGTATGTGCTCTAAACCATATTATTGACTTTCAAATCATTATATGAGCCAGCTTGTAAAATTCTGCATGGGGATTAAAAATACTTAATAAAAATTTAAAGAGACAAATTGCGAGTAATTTTCTATGATGAATGGAATCTTCTACCTTATAAGGTTCAGAACGGTATTTGAAACAGATATTATATAGGTTCTACTTACCCACAATTTACAGAAATAGCTAATTCCACACTATTGATATTTTCTTTTATTATACTAACTTTGCTGTCTCTTTAAATCATTCATTATCACTTGCCATCTACATTCCCTTGCATTTTCCAAGCCATAAGTCCTTGAGGAGATTGGCAAATATATTTGTACCTTGTCTAAAATATGAATCTTATGCATAATTTATGTTAGCTTCAACTTTTGTTGAAGTATATTATTTTGAAAGAACAAAATAAAAACCTATATAACATACATCGGGCTTCTTTTGTTTATCTTTAGTCCTTGTAATTTTACTGTAATACTTGGGTACAAGTTGTTTGCCTCTTTTCATTAGGAAACACTTATATAGTATAGTAATAGAGTTTTTTTTCAAAAGTAGAATTATGCTTTTCTTGCTTTGCTGCATGTTTTTAAAATTATTTTGTTGGTTTTGAATAATGCTAATTTTGTTTAAAATTTTTAAATTAAACTTCTTATAGTTAATATTATGCAGTGTGATACTTACCCTTGCTGCTTATATTCAACACAGGAAAATTGAAAGTAGTAACCTGGTAAAGTTGAACGATAATTATATTAAAACTGTTAAAATGATATCAAGATGTTTATTAGTGAAATTCAACTTGAACAAACTGGTTAGGTCTAGAATTGTTGAGACACATTTATTATACTTTGGGGAATCAACAGATATTTTAAAACAATTAATTGTAAAAGCACAGATTATAAATTGAAGAATGTGGTAAAACAGTATCACAGTAATAGAATTCTATTTTGATGCTGTGAAATGGATAGCTATTAAGAACTTCAATGCAAATCTCCAAACACAGAATAAAAATCACAGCTATTGCTCAAATGCCTGGTCTAAGACAAATGATTTTGAAAAGTATAATTTTGATCACATAATCAGCAAAATGTACCCAAATCACTTCTGTATTGATTTCCATATATTTGTAAAGTATAACTTAATACACTACTAAGTACAAAGATCATAGCCAATATCTACTTTTATGAGACTCAGATACTATTGATAAATGATATTTTTGTTTCCCACCATATAAGAAAATATGAAGATAAAATTGAAAAATATATCTGAAATATTTAGAACTCATGACTTCAAGGAAGCAAAATGTATTGCCATGAAGATCCCAAGTTTTTAGTCTCAACCCCTTAAAAGTTTTCCACTTAAATGATGTTAAAGATAATTATGAGATGTATTCTGACAATTTAAAAAATGTTTTTATGTGTTTTTCAAGTGTAAAACTTTTTGGAAAGTATGTTTTGAATATAAAATCTTTTTCTTTTTGAACTATTAATGTGTGTGTCATGATTCTTGAATAATTTTTAATGACATGAGTAAAAGAAAGTCTTCAGCACTTTTATTACTATAACACATACCGTAGCAATCCCATTTTGGGCCCAAATATTAGAGGAACCATAGAGCTATCTAGCAGTGTCTCAGTTTAATCTCAGAATCTATGAGATGCCCCTATATTTCTTTCTTTCTCTGTTTCTCATTTTATGCTTTTTGCCAGAACAATAGTTTTCTTTTCTTATTTTTCTAAAAGTAATCTACATCTATGGTCTAGTATATTAGGCTAGCAAATATTTGAACTTTTTTCTTTAAAGAGTGGGCTTTTTTTCTTCCTGTGGTTATTCCTTAGTCTAAGACAATGGTTCTCAAACTTTAATGAACATAAGAATCACTGGGCAGATTTGCTAAAATGTAAATTTCTGGATCCCATTCAGATTCATTACAGGAAAAATGAAACCCACATGTAGTATAGTATAGTATTAAATATAATTTTGAATAATTAAATAAATTATTATTTATTTCTTCATGCCAGGGGTTGTGAATGATACTGATGCAGGAGTTTGTGAACCACGTATTGAGGAAAGCTGTCTAGGGTCCATTTGCATCTACTTGCATTTTGTTATTGTTATGCAACAATACTTGTGTTGAGCATAAGAAATTAGGGCAACATAAAGATCACTAATTACAATTTTAAAATTTTGGATCTTTTTCACTACGATTTCTCTAAAACAGCTTATTCCAATAGGTAAAAATCATGAAGTGGATACAAACAATTTTTTACTGGGTCCTTCTGGGCCATCAGTTCTCTGACTCAAAAGTCTTGCTCAACTCCTCCTCTAGTGTATGAAGGGAGGTGCTCAGCAAAGCCCGGGTGGAACTGGAGCCCAACGACCAGTGTTGAATGTATAATCAGGATTGTATGTACCCTTCATTCTCACATTCCAAGTTCAAAGTCCGTTTCCAGGATGGTGCTCACCAGAGCACCAAGTTCTAAACCAAGATGTAGGACAGACCCAAGTTGCCATAGCTCCTAAAGTAAAAGAATGAACTGGGTAGATGTGAATGTATGCTGTGTGAGGCGTTGTCACGAGGGATAACTGTGAAGCGAATTCAGCAGGTGGATGTAAAGGTCCAGTCCCCACCAGGGCACAGACAAGCTCTTTAGGTCTCCTCGTAGAACTCTTGGCTTAAAGCTCTGATATGATTACTTCACAAAAGAGAAAAAGACTGTGCCGGGGTAAGACCAATTCATGCAAGATAAATCTATAATATTTTATCGTTTAGAGTGAAGGAGTTCATTGACGAAAGCAACTAGTAATTACCCCTGGGTTAAGGTTTATTTTAATGTCTTTTGCTATGGAATAACATAAAATTTTTGCTTAAAAATTTCCTCTGAGTGTGCTACATAAAGTTGCTTCTGCTCATTTATTTTAAGCATTTATCATAAGTACAGTCATCATAGTGAAACAAAATGAACAAGAGCAATTCTTGCATAAAGATGTAGAGCAATGATTGCTTAGAGTCCTTAGTTATAATATTTTATGTGCATTTATTTTATGCGTGTTAACAAGCAATTGAATTAAGATAATAAAAAAAGCCCAAGGGATAGATCAGTCAAATAAAAAGTCTGAACTGATTCTTCTATTCATTGAAGTTATTATAGCATATCCTCTTATTTTAACTAACCACAATTTACTGAAATGAGGTTTATTTTCTGTGCTAATCCTAGTGTAAGTAATTAGGGGTGGATATGGGGTTGATAAACGTTATATCATGTAGTAAATATTTGAGTTGATAAATTAATGTTTTTGCTTTTCAGATAAAACTGTGGTTTGACAAGGTTGGTCACCAATTAATAGTTACAATTTTGGGAGCAAAGGATCTCCCCTCCAGGGAAGATGGGAGGCCGAGGAATCCTTATGTTAAAATTTACTTTCTACCAGACAGAAGGTAGGGAAATGAATAAAAAATGAATGTTCTTGGAAATATGTGGGAAAATGTTAATAGCAGTGGCTATTCTAATATTGTACTTTTTATATTTTTATATCATGACACTCGGCTACTTTTTAACTTTAATATAAACATAATGCCTTTTAAGAACAAAAATAATGTGACAGGAACTACTTAAATGGAGTTGTCTTTTAAAATGCATAGCAAATGTTCACTGTGTATGTTATTTTATATTTATTTCAGACATGAGTGGATTAGTAATTAAATAATGTATATTTTTTTGTATCAAAATAATTTAAAATCATGTTCCTTTCCATCAAATGTGTTTTAAACAAAAATTATAGAAGCAAAAAGCTGGAATGTGGTCTGAAAGCAACTCATCATATTCTACCGCGATTTCTACCTCTTTTTACAAAAATATTATTTCTGTATATTCTGTGGAATTAACACGTGTGTTGTTGTTTTTTCTAATCACTCCATATCACCAAGGTAACTTTCACCACTGGGCTTAGAAGCAACTTCTTGCAGCATCATTGGTTTTGTGTCCATTCTAGGGAATGTTAACCTTCTTCTATCCCAATTTAAATAGGGAACTTAGGATTGAGAAGTACTGTCACAAAAGTTCTCTACCCATTCTTTATTTCCAAGGAAATAAAAAAATAAAGGATTTTTCCATGGAAGCCAGATTTGACTTTTCCCTTTGAACCCCAGGACCCACACCCCGAGAGGCAGACACCCCTGGGAGGTTGCCGCTTCCTACGTGCGCAGCCGCAATGTGGCCATGCTTCTCTTCTAAGTTCCTGGCTGACATGCTGATGCCCTGCTGCTCAGATGAGCAGGGCCGAGTCTGGGTCATGAGCTGGGCAGCCTAGGCCTGGGTTCTGCTCCTTGCGTGGCCTATAACTCTTGAGAAGGTCATGTCTTTAGGCTCCAGCCTCCCCGTCTATATTATGAGGAGCTTGGATTGGACAATGTGAATGCTGCTGGGGGCGCAGTGCAGAGTGGGAGCGCGTGTTGCTAAGTGGGAATGAGCGGCAGTGACCTGAGCTGCAGGGTTTCAAAACTGGGCACAGTTCTCCCCTATTAGCCCCTCGCTGACTCCCTTCCAGGTTGGGGCTGAGGCAGAGGCCTTCTAGAGGAAAGGACCTAAGAAGGTGGCTGGGGAGATGGTTGATCAGCAAGATGTGACAGCTAGCTCAGGCCTGCCCCACTCAAGACCTTTCTCATGCCTCACCTGTGGTCACTGAACACCTACAGGAGACAGCAGTGACCACCATTAAGCTTTTAGGGAGAGTGGGATGTCTCCAGCGCAAAGCCCAATGAAGGGCTAAAGAAGAGGATGGAACTGTGGAAAGGGAGGGGGAAGCATCAGAGGCCTGCTACCCCGGAGCAGGCAGAGTGAGCTAGTGAGCTAGTAGCAGCTGGCCTGACAAGCCTGGAGAAGTCCCGTTACCAGACCTGAGCTCTGGGGACAAGAGAGGAGAGTGGACAACTAGGTGGACTGAATGTAGAGTGAGTGGTGAAGGGGGGTG